AAATATTACTATATAGTTATATAGTTGAGGTACATAAATTATTTTTTTAATGTTATAGAATGATCACATGCAAGGCAATGAGCTTCAGCTATACAACAAATTAGCAAGCTTAATGTTATGTATCGAGGAAGAAGCTCATTATTTATTTATCTATAGTGTACAAAGCAGCAAGCTTGGAGAATTAGTTGCAATTTAACAGCAAACTTTATAAATTGATAAGGATAATTATTATTTATATAACAACAGGGTACAAAGCAAACATCTTAGAAAACAAAGTTGTAGTGTTATAGAAAGTTCTAAGAAATGAGGAGGTGGCTTATTTCTATAACTATATGGTCAAAGCAACTCAATTTCAGGAATACAGTTCCAATGTTATGGCAAGCATTAAAAATTGAGAAGTAGGATAATTATTTATGTACATCTTTCGGTACAAATCAAACATTGTCAGGGACACAGATGTATTCTTAGAGCAGGCTTTAATAATTAAGGAGGTGGCTTATTTGTACATATATCTATATGGTAGTGTTACAAAGTAACCAGCTTTTGGGAATAAAGAACTTTGTCTTTTTATAGCAAGCTTAAGTATTGAGGAGGAGGCTTATTATTTATATGATCTATATGGTACAAAGCAACCAGTGAGTTTCGAGAATACATTTGCAGTGTTATAGCAGGCATTAAAAATTGAGAAGTAGCATTATTTTATATACATATATATCAGTAGGGTACAAAGCAAACAGCTTCAAGGACACAGCTGTAGTGTTATAGCTTTAATAATTAAGGAGATGGCTTATTTTCAATGAAAATACGAGGTCATTTTAATGAACTTTGAGTGAATGAATGACCACCATATTAATTCCATTTGATACATACATCATTAAGGGCCATAAGCATAATTGTGTGATTTTTATCATCTATAGCAAGTAACTATGTCAGAATCTTACCTTACTAGTGCACAAAGCATTGTATGTCATTCTGACTCTGCGGAAAAGGCAATTCTGAAAATTCACAAGGTCACACTCTTCGTTGTTATTCAGTTTTGATTGTTCAAGCTCTCTCTTGCACCAAAAAGCGTTCACAAGCTTCTTCAAACTAAAAATCTTGATGGAAATACCTTCTTGAATATTCAAACAACTGAAACTTCGACTTAGTATAGCGCAAAATATCAATACTCGCAGTGTAAGAGACCATAGTAGATATAATATGTATCAACCACTTGTATCAATATCATTGATTTTGGCAAGCTGTTTTACTACTATTTCCCATCTGCAACGATGTCACAGTCATTGCGCAACAAAATTATGGCTTGGGTGTCGATCCAGCTCTCATGGTGTCACTCGCACAAGATACTTGCGCTGTTAATGGCTTGACACTTGACACTCTTTCCAATTTCCAGGGTGTCAAAAGATAGCAAATTGCGCAATATTCCAACCGCCGACTATTCATATATTATTTCAGACAAAATTTGCACAATAACTAACAAGAAAAACCAAGGCGTGGGGACTAAGCTTAGCTGGCTTGGCAAGTCCTGGCCGCTATGCCACAAAATGAATGTTATCCAACAGGGAAAACTATGGAAAACACACACACAAAAAAGAAATTGTGGTACAGTTTGAAGTGCAATATGATTTCAAAACAATTTATCAAAATCGAAGCATGGAAAAGGCAGATATTCTTGTATAGAAGATAAAGAAAATGCAAGCAGTTGGGGTGGGTGGGTGTGTGTGAACTGGTTGACTCGTTAGCTCACTGAGCTGAGCTTATAGATGACTTTAATACTCAAACTAAGCTTGTTTACAGTTTGCTTGCAGACAGATTTATCTCAAGGGAAGTTAACCATTGTTTCCAGTGTTATCTAAAAGCACTCGATTAAACCTGCCTCTTAGCAAAACGTTAACAAGTCACGTCATCTATAAAATATTGTTGGTATCATTTACACACAGATATTTCTATTTCTATGACCCTGATTTGTTGGAAATTTATTTATAATGGCCAGTAAAAAAGGATGTTCTTCTAGAGCACTTTGATTGTTATACTAAAACATGTTTAATCTTGTGACCCTTTTCTATTTCAAATTTTTATCCTATTGCTGGGGTTGGTTAAAATAAAACAAATTTTGTACTTATTTAACCAGCTCTCTTTTAGTGACGGGACTTGTTAACGTTTTGCTATGAGGCAGGTTTAATCGAGTGCTTTTAGACAACACTGGAAACAATGGTTAACCTCCCTTGGGATAAATCTGTCTGTCAGTAAACTGTAAACAAGCTTAGTCTGAGTATTAAAGTCATGTATAAGCTCGGCTCAGTGAGCTAATGAGTCACCATTTTCACTCTCCAACTGCTTGCTTTTCTTGGTCTTCTATACAAGAATGTCTACCTTTTCCGTGTTCAATTTTAATAAATTGTTTTGAATTCATGTTGCACTTCAAACTGTACCACAATTTCTTTTTGGTGTGTGTGTTTTCCATAGTTTTTCCTGTCGGATAAGATTTATTGTGTTGCATAGCGGCCAGGCCCTGCCATATCATCTATAAAATATTGTTGGTATCATTTACACACAGATATTTCTATTTCTATGACCCTGATTTGTTAGAAATTTATTTATAATGGCCAGTAAAAAAGGATGTTCTTCTACAGCACTTTGATTGTTATACTAACATGTTAATTCTTGTGACCCTTGTACAATTCAAATTTTTACTTTCACCCTATTGCAGTTTTAAAAAACTGATCATCTCATTTTTCATAAAAGATGAATTGCATAGTTTAAGTAGTTAATGTGTTTTTATTCATATAACAATAACTGTGTGTTTCATCAACATAACAGAAGTGTGGAGAGAGCAAAACGATATTACGTAACTGTAGTCACATAGACTTTTAATATTCTAATGTGATTATTATAAATATGATGTTTCTCATCTAACATGTTGCCCATTGGCTAGCACATAGGATTCTAAATCAAATTTTTTGACTTCACCAGCCAACCCACTCTAAGTTAATTGAAACTTTTTTCGTAGAAGATAGATCCACTCTGATTCCCCATTCCACACACATGAAAAAAGTATTGTTATTAGCTCTTATGTTTGTGAAAAATACTCCTAAGTTGCAAGTGATAACTGATCGGATTGCTATGCTTAACCTGCAACAGAACATGATACTCATTTGATGAGTACACTTGGACAAGATGATAAGTCTTATCTATTCTTATGCAAACTCTCTAATGACAAAGAGTTTTTTTGTGGAAACGCTATATAAAGTTCTGTGCAAACATAAACAAAGTAAACATAGCTGAGGTTATCAAATGTTTATGGTCACCTTAAGGTGGTGATCTTTTTCAAACTTCAGCACTATCTTGCACTATTTTTGCCATGTTTTTGTAATTAAAAAGAGAGTTTGTTAAATAAGTACAAAATTTGTCTTATTTTAACCAACCCCTATTTAATGAAGAAAACTGTGTTTAAGATGCAAAAACAGGTATTATGTACTAGTTCTATGATGTATTTGCGATTAAAACGATTGCTGGTTACATATGTACAAAATTTGCTTTATTTTAACTAACTCCGTTTTAGTGAAGATAAACTGAGTTTATAATGTAAAAACATGTATCATGTACTATTTTTGCGATGCTTTTGTAGCTAATTAAAAAGAGAGTTGGTTAAATATGTACAAAATTTTTCTCTTTGTTTTTCAAACTTCACCAAGTGTTGGTCAACACATGGTGATGTTCGAAAAAGATCACCACCTTGACGTAACCATAAGCATTTGATAACCTTGCAACTTAGGAGTAATTTTTACAATTATAAGAGCTAATAACATTACGTTTTTTCTTGTGTGTGTGTAAAGAGTGAGTCATAGAGCGAATTTATCGTCTATGAAAAAAGTTTTAATTAACTTAAATGGAGTTGGCTGGTAAACATTTGATAACCTCAGCTATGTTTACTTTGTTTATGTCTGCACAGAACTTTATATGGAGTTTCCACAAAAAAACTGTCTGTCATTAGAGAGTTTGCATAAGAATAGATAAGACTCGTCATCTTGTCCAAGTGTTCTGATCACATTGCAGCTTGAGAGTAATTTTCACGATAATAAGAGTTAATAACATTGCATTTTTTCTTGTGTGGGTGAGAGGGGGTGGGGAGGGGGGGGGTTGAGTCATAGAGCGAATTTCTCTCCTATGAAAAAAGTTTTAACTAACTTAAAGTGAGTTTGCTGGTAAAGTCAGAAAATTAATTTAGAACCTAATGGGCTAGCCAATGTAGAAAAGAGCTATACTTGTAAGAAAAAGATGGTCAAGTTTTAAAAAACCCGGATCTTGCTGAATAATCAAATTCATTACCAGCACAGATGTATTATTACATTAACTACTTAAACTATGCAACTTATCCTTTATCAAAACTGAGATGATCAGTTTTTAAAACTGCCACAGGGTGAAAGTAAAAATTTGAAATAGACAAGGGTCACAAGATTTAACATGTTTTTTAGTATAACAATCAAAGTGCTGTAGAAGAACATCCTTTTTTACTCGCTATTATAAATAAATTTCTAACAAATCAGGGTCATAGAAATAGATATATCTGTGTGTAAATGATACCAACATTATTTTATAGATAAAGTGACTTGTTAACGTTTTGCTATGAGGCAGGTTTAATCGAGTGTTTTTAGACAACACAGGAAACAATCAGGGGCGGATCTAGGATTTTGGATACCATAGGCAAAACATTATGACGTCATTCAGTGCTAAACCTATGACGTCATACTTTGCAAAACATACTACACTATTTAAGCTTTCGATAAATTGCTTAAATCAAACAGTCTAATCATTCAGCTATGCAGAATCTTGTAGATCTCAATCGTATAAATACATAAAAACATTGTATATTTATACTTACATATCACAAGGTCGTTGATTTTCACTATTCAGAATATTGAATGCACACAAGACTGTTTCGCCCCATATCAGGGCTCATCAGCATGCCTAGGAACACTTTAACGCAAAACAAAAAATCGTGATCCGGCATGGACAGCCCTGTGAGAGCCGAATTAAGCAGACTGGTTATGGCGCCAGAAGTTCGCCTACACACCTTTGAAAAAGGAGTTTGGTTAGAAATGGGTGACTATATGGGATATTTCATGGATGTGATATTGCTCAATTTTCACACCATCCCAGTCAATTCCAACCCTTTACCCCCACCTAAAATGAGCACTCTGGTTTTGAAGGCGCCAGAAACTCGCCTTTCACACCTTTAGCAAATAGCAAAGGAGTTTGGTTAGAAATGGGTGACTATGTGGGACATTTCATGGATGTAAGATTGCTCAGTTTCTTACACCATCCCAGTCAATTCCAACCCTTTACCCCCCCCCTAAAATGTGCACTCTCATTTGCCAACAAATGAGCAGAATGTAAATGTAATGTAATAGTCAAAATAGAGCTTTGTATAAAGAGTCTTTGTGAAGACTAAAATTTGGTGTAAGGAAAAATTATTCTATTTATGCTTAACAATTTTGTGAAAGTAAATTTATGTCGACAACGGCCGAGTACCATACACGTACTCAGCAGTTTTAAGATTGGAATGTATATAGGGAAAAAAACCTTTATCGGGCGAGCTATTAGTTTGATGCAAATTCTATTGACGTTACTATTGTGTACAACGCACAATAAATGGTTAACATATGGACATTTCAACAAAATAAAAAACTAGGATATGAATAAATTCATGCAAATTTTAGCCTTGTATTTCCAACAGCAAAAGTATTAATAACCTCACCAATATCTGGTACAATTTCCTGATGAATTTGCATCAAGGCCAAACCATTTAAGCGTTCCCCAACCATGGTACTTCGCTGATAGTTTTTAAGTGTCCTAAGGGAAGAAATAGATCGTTCACATTCACAAGAGGTAATGGGGAGCGTTCCTAAAATACGTAGTAAAATTTTAATGTTTTCAAATCCGGCGAAATGAACAGATTTTAAAGTCTGGGCAATGTTATCAGGAAGGAGGCCGCAGTGGGTCTCCCAATAAGTGTACCACAACCTAAGTTCAGCATCTAAGGCCAAAGGATTTGGCAAATCATCATAATAAAAGTTAGCCACAGTTTTGAATGGCTCTTTCCAATCCACCCCATCTCTTGTCATGGACATCATTTTCGTCGGTACAATGCTAAGGCCTTTATAGACATTCACACTCTCAAGGTCGAATCGTGATTCTAAAGAAGATTGCAAATGATCTAGTAGAGGAAGAGTAATTGCACGTTTATAATACTCAGAAATGGTTGTGTGGGGAATATTTTCCCTGGTCGTTTGTTTGCGCACTGTTCTTGGTTTCCATTCTTCAATGCCAACTTTTGCTGCCAGTTCAAGCGCTTCGTCATACCAGGTGTCATGATAAAAATCAGAGGAATTCCTCATGTTCACCACCTCAGTTTTCAAAGTTGAAATTAAATGAATACCATCCATTATATCGATACTCTTACCCTGTAATAACTGTGTTACTGGAAGAGTTGAATCAAGAATATTTCTCGTGATAACTAAAGCAACGACGAAATCAAACCTGTCAATAAGTTGAAACAAAGATGAGGCATCAGACTGAAGCGACGGTTTGAACTCACCATCTAGATTTTCAGACATATCGTTAAGGGTGGTGTATACAGGTACAAAAGCTCTTGGAATGTATCTAAACCTTCGATACGTTCTACCCATCTAGTTTTGCAAACGTCTGTTAATCTAGTCTTTTCGAGTTTGTTTCTGAATTACGTATATGTTTTTCAAAGGGAATATTGCGAGTTTGGGAAATTTTAATAAAATTAGTGGCATTGTTAACATGTTTCAACATATCATTGACAACACGTATACTCAAAGAATCGCAAATGGATAAGTTTAACCTATGACTATAGCAGTGTGTATAAAGAGCCTTTGGGTTAAGCTTTAAAATTTGAGCTGCTAGACCATTAGTGCAACCAGCAACTGAACCAGCCCCATCATAACCTTGCCCCCTACAATCATCTATTGATAAAGTCAGTTCCTTTAGAGCCTCTAAAAGTAGCTTGGCAAGTTGAGCACCACTTAGTCCCCACTTACAAAAAAGAAATGAAATGAGAAATGAATTCTTCCCTGATATTCATATCGGTATCAGCAAAGCGCAAAACAAGAGACATTTGTTCTTTATGTGAAGAATCAGATGCTTCATCAGCAATAACAGAAAAAAACTTACTTTTTTTGATATCAGAAATAATCTGATTACTGATTACCTGGCCACAACATTTAATGATTTTATTTTGACTTGTTTTAGAAATATAACTTCTATTCTTACCACAATTCTTTAAATGATTTTCTAAAACTTTATCCCCTCTCCTAACTCCATAATTGAGTGTTTCAATGAAATTACCAACCCTCCAGATGAATAACAACCAACAGTAGGGTGATACTTGGAATCATCACGATGCCCACGAAGAGGTAAACCTAGACGTCCACAAAAAATGACAGAATCAATAATTGGAGATAGTATTTCCCTATTCTGTTCTATTTCTTTCTTGATACCAGCATCCATGATCATCTCGATAGGCTGCAGAGTACCTGATATTTGGGAACGCAAAGCATCAAAATTGGTGATGTGGATGCATGCAAACCGACTTCTCCCTTTACTTTTTCCAGCATGTTGAGTGAAAGAGCATTTAGCATTCTTCCAATCTTGAAGAGGTTCAGTAAACAACTTTTTTACTTTACTGGCCTTGCCTGGGAATCTATTGCCAAACAACACACACGATAGACAATACGCACCATTTTGTGAAGGTGAATAGCAAAGCCATTCATGCTGGTCTAGCCAATCATGCCTAAATGATCTGCCATTAGATTTAGGAAAATGATACTTTTATCTGGTTTATATACATTTTTATCAAATGACATATTTCAGAATTATCCATACCCTTAACTTTCTCCTATACAAGGAAACATCAAAATTATGGGTTAAAACAGCAGGTTGCATATCACCAGAAGTTGGAATACCAGGCAATAGTTCCTGGGATGATGTGTGAAGCAAAAGACTATTGGCTTTATTTAATGTCTGAGCAAGAGCTGCAGCAGAAGAAAAACTCTCATTGGGCATCCTTTTAAAAGTTGGTTGGGCAGCAGGCCTATTAGTTGAAGTAAAAAAAATTTGAAATGTCAACTGTTTTTTGGTGCAATATTTGGAAAAATTTTGACAAATTTTCGTTTCTCTGTTGTTGAGCTGCTAGAATTAGACTGTGTACAGGAATTAGACAATTTTCGCTTCAACCTGTGGGCATGGAAAATGAGAGGCACAAAATGATTAGACTGAAAAGTCTCACCTGGTTGTACAGATCCTTCATGACAAAACAAAATATTAATAGCATCCAAACCTCTTTGGCTTAATAACCGGGGCTGAACAATACGATTAAATAACAATTTATATCTACTTTCACCAGAATCAGGATAAAAGTATGAATTTTTCTACCTAAAACAGAAGATAGGCCCAAAATACAAAGAAAAGATGACCATTTCTGGTCATTACAATTAAAATAGCCTCCTGTTTTACCAGTTCATCTGTTGTATATCCAGTGTCTAAACATTCTTTAGACACTGACAAAGGCAAAAGATTGTTTAAGCTTTGGGCAAAGTAATCACTGTGCTCACTTATAACAGACAAAAGCATGGGTGTTGAGCATAAAAGCAGCATGAATAAATAGCTCAAGCGATGTTAAAATTCGCAAAGTAGGGACCAATGCATTGTTACCTACCAGAACTAGGAAGCTGAACTGTAGAGGCAATTGCCAGAAGCTTCAGATCTTAAAAATATTCAAGAAAAGAAATTAATATTTTGTTTGGTAGATTGATTGCATTGTATGAATGAATTGCTGACTGTAGACAAAGATATAGCCTAGCGAAATTGAGATTTAACCATTTTACACGTATATATAAATACTACAATACGATATATATAATTATAATATATTTACCTTATTGCAGTACAAGTCTTTCCGTCATGAGCGTGCTTTGGCACATATATTTCAGCTCAAAATTTCGACACAGAGTATGGTCGGGGTCATAAATTCTATCTAACAGCTGCTCGTTAGTAAACATAGGTCGAACGTCGACCAATAAACGAGAATAAAGCTCATTAAGGCATTTTAAATCGTTTTTGGCCAACGCAGACTGAGCAGTCTCGTATAAATTACCACAACACAATGAAGACATTATAAAATATCACAAAACCGTAAACTGAGCACAGAGGCTGTTCAGAAACAATACGAGTGTATGTTAATTTTCAATTGCCTAATTTGCCTAGCTCAACTATGCTTATCAACAGCAATGATTGGTTGGAATTGCTCAAGTTAGGCAAAAAATTGACCAATGAAAGCATACGGTTGCAAAAATTGCCCAATCAGAATACCTATACACGATGTCAAGTTAGGCAAATTCATCTTGTTTAGGCAAATTGCTAACAACCAATCAAATGGCTAGATCGCCTTCTTGACTTAGGCAAAATGGCTGCTTTGCCTAACGACACGGAGCTTTATAGATAATCATACGCATCTGGACTACGATTCATATCAAAATTACGTTATTTAATTGCACAACATTTCTAAACAAAAGTCAGATGATTTGACTGCGATAAAGTGCTATTCATAGTTTCATAATTCGATAAATTCGTATCGAATCTAAGTCGAAGTATATTTTGGTAATTTCACCATAGGCACTTGCCTATGGTGCCTACCCCTAGATCCGCCCCTGGAAACAATGGTTAACCTTCCTTGGGATAAATCTGTCTGCCAGGCAGTGGCGTGCGGTCATGCAAGCGTAGGCAAGCGCCGCTTACCTAAGCATTTTACCGAACAAAAAGTTTTTGGATCAATCTCTGAGCAAAATCAGTTTAAATTTTTCTGTTCTAAACAATGTCAATGTAATCTTTTGTCTAAATTGTCTTTACAGTTGAAATGCTTGCTATTTATACGCGATTTACTGTCGTGGTTTTCGGTTTCACTTTGCTACACTTGTAAGATGAGTCAAGTGTATTAAATTAAGTGGATTAAATTAATTATTTATTAACCAAGGCAAGCGCGCTTGCCTTCGGAGCTCAATTTGAACATTTGCGCATGCGTTAATCTAGATTTGGAGGCTTCTTATTCGAGGAATATCGAGAAAAGGCAAGCGGCGCTTCTAAGGGCGCCGCTTGATAGCGATTGGTCAACAGTCTTGTACGCTCGCAATTTTAAACACATATCAGCGCACGAATAATATTCGTATATTCAACACATTGGACATCCGAATTATTCACGTCGTTAATGTTATCGTTTATTAAAAGACGACTGAGAGCGAAAGGTAATGTTCTGATTTCTAATTCAAAGTAGTAGTAGATTTCTAATTTATGTATGTAGAAGATATTATCTGTAGCATGTTATACTTTAGCGTTATATAAGTCTTGCGTATGAGCTCTGAACGTGTTTTCAATGTACTAGAACGCTATTAAATTTTGTGATTATTTTATTCACTAGCAAAGAAGTTATTTGCAACAGTCGTGAGTATTCTATATGTTAGAATTTATTTACAGGCTTTTTATATATTTTGATAAACAAGGTGCAGTTATTACACAGCGGATAATGTACTTGAAATTTGAGTAGTTTTACGTAATTATAAAGTTAAGTGCGTAAGTTTAAGTAGCGCGTTTGAGTAAGTGTAGGATTGGCTATTTCCTCTATTGCTAATACATGAATCTAGATGAGTAATGTACGCACGTTATGTACGTCACTACAAGATATCATGTAACTGATGTAAGGTATAAATAAGATTGATTTTCCTATAAAATATATAGCATAGGAATTTTCATCCTTTTATGTTCTACTTCTACAATTCGGTATTTTCACGACACCTGTACAACATGACTGAATGCATTGTGGAATCACTGTTATCCCGCTCATTTGGATTGAGACCTTTTTCCGAGAAACGAGAGATCGTCGGCCGTCCCACTCCTGAGTTGCAAGGACTACATACAACATCCAAGCGAAGTTGTAAAGTCTTTATTCGAAGTTTTCAGACGTCAAATTACGACAAGTACAAATGGCCGGCTGGCTCCTCAAAATTGAATAAGTTATTTTGCTGGCCGTGTCTTTTGTTCAACTCAACAGACAAGACAGTCTGGTGCAAGAAGGGATACGATGATTTGGCCAACCTGTGTAATGCCGTCAACAGACACGAGAAAACGAAGACACACTTGTCCAGTTGCCTAATGAATGCCAGTTTTGGGCGTACACGCATCGGCATGCATCTAGACGAACAGGCCCGTCAACACATCTCAGCTCACAACTTGATGGTGCACAAGAATAGAGAAGTACTTCGCCGTTTCATTGATGTTGTTTGCTCTCTTGGCAAACAGGAACTTTCTTTCAGAGGTCGGGTGGAGCTGGAGGAGTCTGCCGACCGGGGCAATTACGTCGAATTGATAAAACTGCTAAGTGCATATGACCCCACGCTTGAACAGCATCTTCATACAGCAACCGTGTTTTCTGGACTTTCTAATCGTATCTAGAACGATTTGATTGTTGCTTTCAAGGACGTTATGTTGAAAGCAATAAAAGATGAAGTGATGAGGAGCCCATTTGTCGCTATTTCCCTGGATGAAACCTCCGACGTTAAGACCTTATCGCAGCTAACAACTATAGTTCGCTATGTCAACCCAGTTGGTAAAGCTGTGGAGCGCTTTCTTGGATTTACCGATGTAAGTGCGGACCGTACTGCGGCTAGACTGAAACAAGAAGTCGGTAAAACCCTGAACGAGTACGGATGCGGCGAAAAACTGATTGCCCAAACGTATGACGGTGCGAGTGTGATGTCAGGAGAACTGTCCGGTTTGCAAACACGAGTAAGAGAAGACTATCCACATGCTCTTTTTATCCACTGTTGCGGACACGCATTAAATTTGGTCCTTGTTCAAGCTGTCTCGTCAACTAAAGAGTGTCGTATATTTTTTATAACCGTCACTGGTCTTTCATCCTTTTCATGCCTCGTCCAAGAGAACATACCTGTTGGACACAGTTGTCGGCAGACGCATTCCCACTGGAACAGCTGTTCGATGGCACTATCAGAGCAGGTTAATCCATGCTGTACTGGAGACAAGAGCAAAGCTGCTCGAAGTTTTCGAATACATCATCGAAAATGATGACGAGTTTGACGGTACGACGTTAAACGAAGCGAGGGGCTACTGACAAGTTCTTGCAGATTTCCAGTTTGTGTTCTGCCTTAAAATATTTTCAGAAATATTTGGTCTTACGGATGTTTTGTATAATATCATTCAGAGTAAGCAGTTCGATATTGTCTTCTGTGTCACGAAAGTTCGCGAGACGAAAGATAAGATTCAAGAACAACGAACAAAATTCGTAGATTATTGGAATTTTACGTCAAGTATCGTCAAAGTAGCACTGAAACGCGGGCAAAGTGAAGAGGATGTAAAGGCGTCCTTCCGTCAAATGTTTTTCTGTGTAGTCGATACCATTGTCGTGCAGATTGACTCTAGATTCGAAAGTCTTAACAGCAGAGCATTCGTTTCTTTGTTGGATCATTCAAAGCACGAATTGTACAGCCGGAATTTTCCCGAACGAGAGCTGCAATCGTTGCAAGATTCATATGGAACATTCTTTAATCTTCAAGCACTAAAAGTGAACTAATCGTTGTATACGCATCTGCCGAGCTCAAATCGAAACCTGTTTTGATATGATATCAAAATAATCGAACTTGACTTGAAAGCCTGTTTTCCAGAGGTGTACCGATTGTGTCAGCTCATTCTTACTATGCCAAGTACGTCCTCCTCTGCAGAAAGATCATTTTCGGCTCTCAAGCGTATCAAAACGTATCTTCGCAGTACACAAGGGCAAGAGCGACTTTCTGCATTGGCTACAATTTCAATCGAGAAGGAGATGTTGGTAAGTTTGCAGGGAAGCCACGATTCTATGAGGACGTTATAAAGGAGTTTTGCGCAAAGGAAAGACGGATGGAATTTACATTTAAGTAAATCTGTTGTAGGATTTTGGACTATTTCGTTCTGTTACTTCTTCACTACAATAGAAATGCACGCGTAGCCATTTACTTAAAACGACTTTATATCACAATACCACATGTAATACTTTTAAACCGTAATTGTGATATATACTCTATAAAAGTTTTGAATTTTTAGATTTTTCAATACTGTTTCAGTCATGACAGATACATTTTTTCGACAAAGTACTCCCAGAAATCGCGGGAAATGCGCTCCAGTAGCCTTCAAAATCCAAAAATTTTCTGGGGGAGCATGCCCCCAGAAATCCTAGATAGCTTCGCGGCATGCCGCGAACCTCACCCCCAGCGCTTACCTATTAAATTCGGTCACTGCACGCCACTGCTGCCAGCAAACTGTAAACAAGCTTACTCTGAGTATTAAAGTCATCTATAAGCTAAGCTCAGTGAGCTAATGAGTCACCCGGGTCACCCCCCAACTGCATGCTTTTTCTTTGTCTTCTATACAAGAATATCTGCCTTTTCCATGCTTCAATTTTAATAAATTGTTTTGAAATCATATTTCGCTTCAAACTGTACCACAATTTCTTCTTAGTCCCCACGCCTTGCCTTTTCTTTTTTGTCAACAATGCTCTATTTTAAAACTGCAGGCTCGTTTACGTGTAATTATGAGGTCAATTTCTAAGAAATGCTGTTAAATCCATAGATCGTTCAAAATTTCATACGTCATAATTTGTTATTGAAATTTTATCATCTAGCGAGCGCCTGGTTGACGTTATTATTTAGTTGTTTACGACAAAATTTATTCGTGTTTTATGAGGATTGTGTTGAAATAATGCTGTGTAAATTAAGACACTGCAAATTTATCTACGTTTGAATAAAGTGTTGGAGCCTTTCATATTACCATAATATTAAAGCTCTTATATATTCGATTTCTGCAATGCGATATTGCACTATTTATAAAATTCTGACGGTGTTCTTTGAGACCATTGACACGCCTTGGATCTGCCCCTGGGCTTTATGTGAGCATAGTGATTAGGATGGAGGTCTGGAAATCCTTGAAAAACAAGTAAAATTGGATTAACCGTGCCGTATTTATGCCGTTTTAAACGTCGCATTTTAAATACGTTTAATGCAATTAAAAATAAAGAAAATAAGAAAAAATTCCTTATTGTCTTTTGTTTTAAATGCATTTTACTCATGTAAAATGCTACGTTTGAAAATGGCCTTATTTACATTGTTTAATTTGGAAGTTGGACTTTGGCCAAAGAGCCCCGGCGAGGAAAATGTTGTGTAATCATTTATTTATTTTATTTATAATTATTGATTAACATTGTGAAATAAACCTTGGCAATGCAATGGAAAATATTAATGTGACACGCGGGCAAACATTTCTGTTGTCTGTCATTCAAATCACACAATTATAGTGAACGCGAGCAAATTTTCAATCTACGCCAGTAAACAAATCCATCCAGATATGTTCTACATCCAGTGGTGGTCCTATTGAAGTCAGTACATAACAATTTTTTATTGACAAGTTTGCAGGGGCAGCACTACCCTTTCTTTGTGACAATAATTTCTGTTTTATAAAATATAAACTAAGTGCATGGATGACTGTCACAGAGGTATGAGTGACACCCTCATTTCAAAACATCAAAGTTTTTTTTAGTGGTTTTAGGATTGCGATGTTACAATAAAATCTGTGCATTTTGCTCCGTATGATCATGAGTAATTGTGAAGCGGGATTTAAAAATATAAGCTCAAATTTCAATTGCTTTCTTTGTATGATTTAAAACTACGAAGCAGAGAGAAGCTATCTTCGTCATATAACAAAACTAAATGTGACATTTGTACTTTAAATAACGCTGACCATTGGTGTATGTAAAAATATAGTTTGAATCGGTTTAACTGAAATCCTACAGACTGTTAGAAGCTATGCCTTGTAAAAATTTCAAAACACGTTAGCTATAATGAGTAAATGAGATAATTACGTTAATCCTGTTAATCAAACAATTGTTCTCATTAAAATTAAAAAATGCATTTCCATGTTATGGTACAGAAACATAAATAGTTCCCGTTTTACTATCCTGTTATGTCTTCAGTAATGTTTTTGCTTTCAGCAAGAGAATAATACTTCCCTTGTTTTTGTATTTTAACTTCCCATATTCTATTTTATACTGATAAGTTTTACATCTCTATTATTATTGACATCACACAAACATATATTACGGACACTCAATTTACAAATGTATACGCTTATTTAGTTGTCGATTCTTTTGATTTAAAAATCGAATTTAGGACACAATTCAGTTGCGACTTTTTCGGGAGTACGTAGGGAGTACGTTTTTTGGGAGTCGTAGGTTTTAGTTTGTCTTTACCAGGTTGTATTGAACAGTAACAAATAAGGTATGACTTGTCATGTATTTAAAATGAACAACCAAAGATTAAAGTAATTGAAGATAAGAAAGTATTTTTTTCACAATATACATCAAAATTCATGCAAAATGCATATACTTAAACGCCATGTCGACAGTGAAGTGGCACCTATGCAAGTGTTTACATGAAGATGATTAAAGTCCATGTTGCCTTGAAGACGTTCTGTGTAACATAATTGTGGCACTTAATTGCATCGATTTTGCGTAATGAAACAATGAAAAAAAGAATGACAGCATAATGCTATAACCGACAACTACAATAACGAGCGTAATGAAACAATAACGATCTCTTCTAACAACATTTGAGAAATTAACCTTACACTCCTCTTTCTTGTAAGCGAGATACTACAAGTCACGGGCTTGTGACCGGTATAGCAGAGTTAAAAGTTGAAAGGTTTATCAAAGATTGATCAACTGAATATTCCTACTCATTTTTGTTTCGAAGCATGCTGAACAGCTCATATGGACAAAGCTCGAATTCCATATTAAATAAACAGTAACATAATCCGGTGTTAATGTTAGACATAACATCATTGGTCTTCAGTGAAAGCACCAATTTTCGACAGGAAAATTATCTATTTTCAACATAGTTTGTTACAAGCATCCCGCTTGCCGATATGTATAAGTGTAATCACAAGGTTAAATAGTTAGAATGTTATTTAACAAAAAGGATGACAGCATAATGCTATAACCAACAACTACAAACGATAACAATCTTTTCTAACAACATTTGAGAAATTAACCTTCCACTCCTTTTCCTTGTAAACGAGATGCTACAAGTCCCGGGCTTGTGACCGGTATAACAGAGTTAAAAAGCTGTTGGTTACAGCCTAATGCTGTCATTTATTTTCTTTAATAACATTTATCCAACTATCTAACCTTGTAATGAAATAATGAGCTTCATCCTGTAACATGAACGTACGTCTAAACAAGGGAAGTAAACAGTCATATGCACAATTATATAAGGCCCAGACTTATTTTCGTTTCATCATTTGTCTGCAAGATTTCTACTAAAGATGGCGAAAGTCAACTTTGGAATTTTTTTCACTCTCGTATTTTTCTACGCTGCCATTCAAGGGTAAGTATTCGTTTTACGCTCATTCCTTCATTCCTTAACACGTAAAAGTGGATTTTTGAATAAATGGTCAATCACTCATGCAAGATTTAATTGTTGTAATGATGCATAGATCTATGATATTACTTTCAAAAAAGCACTCGAGTACGTAATAACTTCAATTCAACGAGAGAAGATCTGGGATTTCTTTGCAGTTTATGCATTAGCCACAGAGTTTTCCACTCATTATCTTTATGATTTTTTGGGGGGAAATTGAGTTTTTAATTTTGTACATCAGGAAATACAACACGAATGTACTGGAGATAGATGGCCTTGACGGTCTCAGTTACTTTTTACTACAATTACATACATAAATTTTTAGTTATTTTTACCCCGAATTCTGTCATTTTGATGAATAATGGATTATTATTTTTTTTTGACAACAACGAATCCAAAAAGCTTACTTACTTAGTTTATTAATGCATTACAGTAACAAGTATATGCTATTACATTTGCTCATCCTATAATATTATTCAATTATAACAATTTAATCTTGAATGTAAATCAAACACTTTAACTTATTTAGTTTTGCGAAACAAGATGTTTCGTCCATTAATGGTCTAACGACCATTAAAGATAGAAAAGTAATGCCTGAGTACACAATTAACAGAGATTTTATCAAATTCTGAAAGAACAAACCTCAGTCAGAATAATTATTGTTGTACTTAATTATTATTTACAATTGTCAATCTTAGTAAACAGGCTCCTAAGAGAAACTATAAAATTTTAAAGCCAAAATCTTAAGCAAGATGCATGTGTGTTATCAGGACATTACTTCGGTCCCACCTCCCCCCCACCCCCCGTAACCCGCTCCAAATATCATAGTCTTATGCCGCTTTGAAGCCAAACATCATGGCATTAAACCGTTACAATTGTATCTTTATAGTTTGACTTCGTTTTACTTTTTTCATGGTAGCAATAGGGGGCTTACTCAGTTTAAATAGATCGGCAATCAACTCCAACAACAACCTGTTTTTCATTTTTTGGCTTTTTAATTAAAAGAGTCACAATGCCTACAAGATGGTAATATAATACACACTTTCTCCGCCGTTTCAGATCTTTTTCTTTTTAGTAGCAAGATACAATGATATTCTTTCAATAAATTGTGTATTGGTAGGAATTTCTA